TCGGGTTTTGACCGAATCCTTTGTTGCTCGATCCAAATAGCCCACTCAAACCGGTTTCGGTTCTGGTCGACCCGCTATATCGGTCCGAGTTGCAAAACACTGCATGACATGCATAAAAAAGAATAGAGGGAACAGTTGGCATTGCATTAGTTCCTTTGACAAATTAATTGAATTATTAATTAACTTATTGACCTAAATCATTTGGTAGGCAAATGTTAGTCGATATATCTATTGGAAAATGTAAAATTACTAAGTGCATTGATACAATTTATTGTTTGGTAGATTTCTGTTGATATTATACATGGTACGTGATTTATTGAATACAATATAATATATAACTCATCCTTAAACACGAGCACTCGATCACGTACATGTGAACATACATAAATAAAATATTATAAGTTATGTGTACTGTTTATATATATATATATATTAAAATTACAAATGAAATAGCTCGCGGTATTACATTTTAAAATTTGATGACTAGCCAAAATGAATAGTATAAAATTATTTAATTAATTAAAATGTGATGAATTTAATTACAGGTTGAACAATTTTACGGTGCTCGAATCCTGTAAATTTTACATTTTTACTCGATCAAGTAATAAACGAATAGGGACCATATATATAATTCGAAAGATGCGAATGTACCTCCTGCAAATTGATACTCATGATCTAATTAAAAGAGCAGCAAAACTCTTTAATGCCCCATTAATGTTTGGAGATTGACTTAAAGAAAAATACAGTTGAGTTTGGGCGAAGCCAGAAATTTTGGTTGCTGGGGTCGGGGAGTCTTACACGGTGTCTTATATAGATCCGCCCCTGCTGTCGGGGTCTTATTATTTTTTTAACGGGGTCTTACACGGTGAAATTTTGTTACGTACAAGTAGTTCAACGCAAAGCGTCGGTGTCGGACGACCCCAACCATTGAACGTAGCTTCGCCACTGTTTGATATATTATTGGCAATTAGTTGCCCATGTTCTATAAAAAATAATGTCACAACATTTCAACATAAATTTATGATGGAACTGTAATTGGATTTTTATGATTAGAATGTTAAATTTTCCAATAGTTTATTTTCTGTTGTTAGAAAATATATTTTTAAAAATTATCGTTGAAATAGTCGAAATTCAATGGGAGCTCCAACTTGCATCGGAATATTTTTGCTGAAATTTTTGGATAGTAATAGCAATCATCAATAGTAATTACTAAGATCTACTTCACAATAATAAGATATAAATTAAGACACAATGCAAGCATGCAGCCAATGCGTGATTCAATTAAACATACAAGTTTTAGGGCCTTGCAGTAAAAAAAAAAAAAAGTTAAAAATTAATAAGTGTCTCAATTTCAACTTAATTTGTGGTCCAATTTTTATTTTACTCTTCCCTATTACGCGTTCTACAAAAGGGCAAAAATTCAAAATTCGTCATATAATTTGGTCACTGTCCAAAAAACCACCCCTATATTGACCACTTTCAATTTAGATCTTATAATTTGTCGATTTCATCAATTTTGGTCATTTTTTATCCGTACCCTAAATTAAACAGTGACGTGGCATGAAAAAATGACCAAAATCGATGAAATCGACAAATTATAAGACCAAAATTGACGTGCCATGTAGATCTTAATCACGCCATGTAACCTTAAAAAAACTGACACGTCATGCCACGTCACTTTTTAATTCAGGGTCCGGATAAAAAGGACCAAAATTGATGAAATCGACAAATTATAGGACCTAAATTGAAAGTGGTCAATATAGGGGTGGTTTTTTAGACAGTGACCAAGTTATAGGACCAATTTTGAAATTTTACCTTTCACAAAATGTCGAGTAAAACATGGAAATGAATTACTAGAGGGCAATCAAATTTACCTACCTTTACTTTTGTCCTTTTCTTCATCACAAGATATTGACAACACACGGAAATTGCTCTCGAGACAATATAATTAGAGCTATCTTTAATGGTACAATGTACATTATCAAATATGTAGCAACAAGAACCCAAAATATATATATATATATATATATATAATAATAATAATAATTAAATTAATTTATAATATTTTTCAATTCAAACATTAATATTGTTCATTTTTTTATTCATTTTGCTCTGGATTTTAGATCTTTTATGGATTTTCTTTTATTTTTCTTTGTGATTTAATTAATTATTAATTACTCAATAAACAAGGTGGGGCAAATGCATAAAAGTGATATTTAAGAATTGTTTAATTAAAAGTAATAATCAAAATAGTGTGAATATTATTTTAATATTGGTATCATATGAGCACAAATAAATGTTTCTAGAATATATAAATATTATACATTTGAAATAAATGATGAAAAGATCTCCCCTACCCACCCACGGTGAACACATGTTAATATGTTCACCGCTGTTTATGTGGCATGTACACATGAGTGATGTTAATATATTCAAAAAAATACATCTTTAACGTGTGCATGCCACATAAGCGGTGAACATATTAACATGTGTCCACCGTGGGTAGGTAAGCATTATCCGGACTATTAGTATATTTACGTGTTCAATTCCAACTACTCTAATTTACACACTTCAAAATTCATTCACATTGAAATATATATATGCGTAGAAGACCCGCATTGCATTCAGATTTAGTAATGAGATCTTTAATGTGTCCGAGCTAACAATTGAAATAGAAATAATGTGTTTAATTATTTATTTGGTTAAATAAATTTATTGAATTCATTTGTTTTGTTATTAATTTTTGTCTTGTTAAAATTTATTTATATTTAATTATTATAAGAAGTATAAAATAATAAAAAAATTACAAACGGCAAGTTTTATTAAAATTAAAAGATTCAACACAACAACAAAATATATAATTCCAAACATATATAATTACATGATTTAAATTGGGATGACATGAAAATTTACGCATAATTAATTTGAAATAATAATTCTAGTGATCTTCTAAACCACTTTCAAATCCGTCAAGATATTGAAAATAGTCGACATATATTGACATGAAATTATAAATTCGTAACAAAATTAGTTTAAAACAACATTTATCGTAATTTCCTGAACACTTCAAGACCAGTCAAGATCACGAAATATTTCATGTAAATAAAATGTGCACTAAATGATGGTCGGAGATGAAATATCAATTCTACTCTATAATAGAGCAAACGGGCTGCAAATGCTCTTATATACAAAATCACACAAACTATAAATACTTTTAAATTGAATAATGAAACTGAAAACTATATATATAAGGTTGGCTTCATAACAAAACCGTATAAATCAAACCAAATATAAAATCTTTTAAATTGAGTAATAAAATTGAAGAGAGAGAGAGAGAGAGGG